CTGCCAGAATGCACGTGGCCGCCTTTGTGCTGCCCACGTGACAGCCCCCCCCCCTTGGCCAGGCTTGTTTGGAGCAGTGCATGCTGGGAGCTCAGCTCCAGTCTCCCCAGCTTATTTCCCTGGCTGGGGTGGGCTCTTCCCCACGTGCCCCTGCAGAATTGGGGCCCAGTGGGAGCCCCTCTTGCCAGCTGCACCCATCACTGGGGCACCCCAGGGCCTGCCCCAGCTCCCATCAGAGGGGTGGAGCATGGCTAACCCCCCCCCCCGTTTGGAGCAGTGCATGCTGGGAGCTCAGCTCCAGTCTCCCCAGCTTATTTCCCTGGCTGGGGTGGGCTCTTCCCCACGTGCCCCTGCAGAATTGGGGCCCAGTGGGAGCCCCTCTTGCCAGCTGCACCCATCACTGGGGCACCCCAGGGCCTGCCCCAGCTCCCATCAGAGGGGTGGAGCATGGCTAACCCCCCCCCCCAAGGGTGCAAACAGCTCCTGCAGGCCCTGACCTGGAGCCTTCGGCCCCGGGAGCTGTTACAGTGTCCCGCTTTGGCCAGGGCATCGTCCGCTGTGCGGGCCTGCAGCAATGGGGCTGAATGAGAGCCTGAGGCGGGCGGGGGCGCTGGCTCCGAATGCATTACCTGGCAGCTGTAGCCCCAGGAAAGCCATCCAGGGAGCCAGCTCTCCACAGCTGGCCAGCGTTTGGTGGCTTTGCTGTATGGGAGGTCTGGAGCCTGGCCTTCCTCCAGTCTGTGAGTGAGGGAGTGGAAAAGGTTTCTGCATCCTGAGATGGCAGATTCCCATGTCCAGCATAGCCCCTATTTTGTAAAACCGGCTTGTACTGCTGAGCCATTCCCGCGTGCGTTGGCTGCTGTGTTTGCCTACACCATCCCTGCTGACACCATCTCTCATATTGTTACCTCTTTCATGAAAGATGCTGCAGGAAGCCTAGATTTTTGCTAGTCTATGTCAGCCAAGGAATGTTCAATCCAAAGAAACCTAATGAAATGAATTGTCAATTACATCTGTCCTGTCCGCAGATCTGTTGAGTGGCAGCCGTGAGAAATACCCGGTGGCCTGGGATTTTTGACTGCCATTTGCCTGTCTGTTTTTCAGCTCTTGGGTCATGCTGCTAGGAACATGGTGATGCAAGAAGATGCCATCCTGCACTCGGAAGATGTAAGGAACCTTTATCTGCTGAAGCACTGGCATTTCTGATGAATAGGCAATGCCAGATTTTGGTATGGAATGTGGGGTTGCATGGCAGTGAATCCTATGGCAGCGTACGGAAGGGGAATCTTGTGGCATAAGTACAGGGTTAGGAATCATAAGAACGTCTGTATTGGGTCAGACCTCCTGTCTTCCAACAGTGGCCAATGCCAAGTACATCAGAGGTAGGGATGTTGCATATCGGTTAATTGACTAGTCGATTAACCACATGAATTCTTATTGGTTACTCGACTGTTTGAGCATGGGGTGCCAGGTGGGAGCTGGTCTGCGAGCAGAGCCAGTTTAAAAACCAGCTCCCCTTGCAGACTGGCTGTCACCCCACGCTGTTGCCTCTGATACGAAGGCGTCAGTGAAGGTAGCAGCACCCCTTGTCTGAGGAGGTGGTCCTGGATCCAGCATGAGCTGTAACTAAGCCAGGCTGCCTGCCCATCTGGCTCCTAATACGTGTTAAATGCAGAGACTCAGCGGGAGGCTATGCTGGACCTGACGCAAGACAGAACTGAGCCAGCCTGCTAAAAAAATTTGCTGGCAAGGTTTGGTGGGGGTTGGGAAATGTGTGTAGTCTATAGCATTTACCTATAAGCTTTTGCTTATTGGTGAATTGACTAGACTGTTACAGGCAGTCCCTGGGTTACATACAAGATAGGGACTGTAGGTTTGTTCTTAAGTTGAATTTGTATGTAAGTCGGAACTGGTACATATTGTAGGGGAAACTCTAGCCAAACATTTCTCCAGAGCTCAGTTTTATTCTCCCACACCTCACTTCCCACAGTCCTTTATTCTCAAGCTGAGGTGTCTGCTGAGAAAAGCCGCTCCACGTCTCCCTGGTCGGCTGGGAGGGGTGCTAGCTTTGCGTCTCCCTGGTCTGCTGGGGGGAAGCAGCTAGTGCGGGGTTGCCTCACCCCGTTTGTAAGTAGGGATCCGATGTAAGTCGGATCCATGTAACCCGGGGGCTGCCTGTACATCCCTAATCAGAGAGAATGAATAGCACAGGTAGTCATTAAGTAATCCATCCTTTGTTGCCTATTCCCAGCTTCTGGCAAACAGAGGCAGAGAGCCTGATTTTGGAGATCTGGACTCTGTTTCTGGCTTTGCTGGAGATTTTCAGTATGAATCTGGGCATGTCACTTATGGCCAAATTTCAGGAGGTGCTAAACACACACAGCTCCCATTGAAGGGGGTGAAAACAGCGTCATTAATCTTTTCATACCTCAGTTTCCCTGTCTGTAAAATTAAGACAGTGCCCCATGATCTCTGAGGGTGCTGTTAAGCACTCCGAGGTCCTAGCATGGATGGTGCAATAGAAGTTCAGGTTATAACTGCTAGAGCTAGGGATTCTTCTCCAAGCCTCCCAGCTAGGACTTCTTGACATTCAAAGGCAAAGCTGTGGAGTTCTCCTCAAGCTCACCACTCCAGAATCCTTCCTAATAGACACAGTTAGCTGGCGCTCAGGAGTAGGAGTAGTAATAGTCATTGTGCTGCACCATGTCTGTGTCGAACTGTTCCATTGCTGAAGGGCTTCAAAATCTTCTTGTTGTTGTACTGTTTGTAGCTTACCCTCAGCACACGTGTATTTCAGCTCCTGTTGGTCAACAGTTTGTAATGCTGCTTGGCTCCGATGGAGAAGTCAAGTCCTGATTTGCTAGATCAGGTAGAAAAACCCCATACCGGTTTTCTGGAGTTTTTGCTCTCTCCCCTCCCCTCGGGGAGAATATTTGCTTTCAGGGGAGGCAGCTCCAATCAGTCTTGTTCCAGAATCCGTGAGCGTGTCCTTGCAAGGTCCAAATGACCAGGCAAGGAGTAGTGGCCAGAAGCTAATGCAGGAGATATTTTGAACAACACGAGCATCTGGGCAGTGGAGTAAACTCGCAAGGGCGCTGGTCAAGGAACTGGCACTGCAGAGACCTGAGAGCAGGTGGGATACAGTGTTACTGAGCGTGATTTAGTGTTTAACAGGTTGGCACGCGAGGGGTCAGACCGATGAGCCAAATCCGAGTTCAAGGTGCATTTCTTTGACCTTGCTTCCTCTAACGTACACGTGTCGGTGTCTGAGTTTCTTAAAATCCTACCAAAGTACAACCTATCTCTGCATCCCGTGACGAGAAGGAGAGAACCAGTGACACATGACTGATGGTTCTTGGTGCTGAATGCACCAATGGAAAGTGCTCAGGTGACGAGCCTGAAAAGAATTGACTCGAAACGGTCTTTTCTGGGCGATTTGTGCTAGTCGCTGGAGAGCTTCCCAGCGTGTTTCAGGGTGAGCGCGATGAACTGGGTGGCCTGTGAACCCCTTTGGATTGCTAGGAGGGAGAGTTGCTGCAGGATGAGCAGAACTGTAACATTCTAGACCGGCTCGTGCTAATTCTGCCGAGATGCTCAGGGCAGAGATGGTCAGTAATTCCCTGTTTTGTGCTTTGCAGAGCCTAAGGAAGATGGCTATAATTACCACTCATCTCCAGTACCAGTAAGTAGAGGGTATTGGGGGCTCTGGATTTTGGGTGGGTTGAATTCCTAGAAACCCCTTAAAGGCCCCACATTGAGGGGGGGGCTGTGTACGGAGCCTGGTCTCTGCACAGGCCAAAATGTGGCATCCCAGCACGATGGATGGGTCATATCCCTCACTCCACTGGGGCTGAGCTGGCCTCACCAGGGAATCCTTGAGCGCCAGCTCATCATGCTGGCCTGTCGTGTGTTCAAGGGACACTGTGCAGATAACGTAGACATCCTGTTCTATGTTAAATGTTGATGAGCTGTTGTCCCATGGACTAGTCACATGAGAGAGACGCATACAGCAAAAAAAAGTCTCCATCTTCAGTGGTATCCTTTCCAGCTCTAGGCTACCCGTTTGGACTCTAAGATGCCAGTCACATGTGTTCATTATCATGCGGTGGCTGTTTGGTGGGGGTGAGACATGAGTTACTGAATCTCTGTCAGGTTCCAAGTGGGTGAGGGTGTCTGCCTCCTCCCCTCCACCCCGCGTCCGTATGCACCTCGATTAGCAGTCAGCTGAGACAGGACTCCCCTTGCGCTTGATGAGGTCGTCCCCCGATCAGCATGGAGACACGGTGCCAGCTCACTGTGGGGGCAGCTTGCCCTGATGCCCTAATACAGGGGTGGCCAATCCATTTAACAAAGAGAGCCAAAACAGCAGCAGAAAAAATGCAAAGAGTTGCACTAGTATTGTCGAGCAAAAAAAAAAATTTTTTTTAAAGGAGGCTGCCCCTTTAAGACGGCTGCCATCTTGGGCACCATTTTTAAAACCCTGTAGCTCCTACCCAGTAAGCACAGGGTGGTCGGCGGGGGGGAGGGGGAAGGGGCAGCTTTGTGAGCCGCACTTTTGGGGAAGAAGAGCTGCATGCAGCTTGTGAGCCATGGGTTGGACACCCCTGACCTAGCTTAATGGCAGAACTTGGTTGAGTTCTCCAGGCATACCAATCATACAAATAGTACATCATAGTGGTTTGGTTCAGGTTTCCCTCTTACCCACTTTATATTCTCATCCACTCCAAATAAAACCCTATTCATTACAGAGCTTCTTGATCATCTGGCACAAAAAAAGGCTACCTCCCAATGTCACGCACAGTGACCTATAAACACTAACATGACTATTAAGATGAGCACAGAGTACAGCTGTGGAATTTATTTCCTAGAAGAGTTTCCACTTTGTGGGATCAAAAGGGTTGGCTTGATTATGAGGTTATTTGGTACTAGCTACATGATGGTGGGTTTATAGTCTTAGGGCCTGATTCTGATCTCTCACATTGGTATAAATCAGAAACAACTCTAGTTGAGGGGTGGGGTCAGGTTATACAAAGGTGTACATGTGGTCAGAATTAATCCTTAGCCTTTGGGGGGCTCTGGCAAAGTCAGGCAGCTTTGACTTATAGCCAGGGCTCCAAAAGTCCAGCAAAACTGAATCAATATCCTCCCTAGAGTTTTGGCTATGCCCCCTTCCCATCTTGCCCAGTCCGGCAGGCTGCATACCATTAGGTGAGAGAATCAAATTACTTGGATTAGGCTTATTAGATTTTGCCTAATACGTTTTAAAAAACTTTTTAAAAATCAACTGACTTAACTTGCTTTTTTTTTATTTTGTTGTCACTGCACACCAGTGTGTACATGCTCTTTGCAGGGCTATAGCTCCACAGAGTTGTTTATTGTCCTCCTCTTTTTTTAGGGCTGTAATAAATACATAACCAAATTTGGAATTGGAGGATTATTGACACTCAAGGCAGCACTTCCTGGAGAATAAAGTTTGCAAAGAGCAGTAATTCACAATGGCAGCTTAAAATGTCAGCTGGGTGAGAGAATCTGTTAGTCCCTGAGGCACTCTGGACTCCTCATTGTTTCTGCTTTAAAGACAAACTGATGGTTTCCGCTTTGGGAGCTGTCAATCAAATCCCTTTTGCCAGCATGAAAGTAGCTTTGCTGCTGTTTTTTCCAACCATCCTTTTTCTCTTTTTCTTCTTTCCTCGTCTAGACAAGAAGCTATTCAGAAGAAGTGAGTATAGCCTGGTGTATTGGCCAGTCTGTTACATTTACCCCTCGCTTGCTAAGCCTCAGTAGACACTCCAGGCTGATTGCCTCTCACCGTTTATATGACACCTGGCTGGGTTTTCTCCTGGGAGCAAGTAAATCTGCAGTGGCAGGAAGGCAGCATGTCCTAGCAATGGCGCAATGTTTTCTCTCCTCCAGAGGAAGTTGAGTGCAGCTTCAAGGAAGGGGACATCCGCTCATAAGCTTAGCAGGGTCACTCCAGGTTATTGGTTGGATAAGGAATCTCCAAAGAAACTCAGGGTGCTGCATGGCGTAGTGTTGATGGCTCAGTAGAGGGTGATCTTTCTGCTCTCGGGGATGCTGTCCTGCTAGTGGGGGCGAGGGTTGGATAAGAGAGAACACCAAAGCATTTGATTGCTCATGATCGCTGACAATTCCATTGTGCTTTTTGCAAGAGTCGGGCCTTTGTCTAGTGGCCTGGGCAAGTTCCCATCTCAAGCGCCGATCGCCAGGGTATCTTAGCAGCAGTGCAAAGTGAGGAAGGTGAGGAAACGCAAGGGATACGTTGACATTTGGAATGGAAACGTCCTTTGGGATTTGAATAGTTTCATTGTACGAATGAAAAAAATCCCCAAACCCTGAAATGCTGAACAAATGTTTTAAAATCTCTTGTGAAGAAATGTAAATTGCCACCTTGTCATTTGGCTTGTGACGTCCTTGGTGCTCCTTCCAGATGAAATGCATTTGGCTTCCTAAGCCAGATCTGCATTGCTCTTTGTTCTGTGCTTGGGGTCCCGTTTAGCCCTAGCATAAGCGAATGGAGCCCTTATATCCTCCTGGGTGCATTATGCCCACTTGTATCAGGGTCCAGTTTAGTCCCACCCCCGTCTAACATTCAGCCTCTCAGCGGGGTGCAAGCAGAATATGCAGATCACTTGGGATCTTTGAATGGCGCCGCGCTCGCCAGACGATTTCCAATCTGGGATGGCTTCTGAGGAAAAGGAAACTTTGCTCGGGGTTTGTAGGTGGGCGGAGTTCGTTTAGCTTTGGCCAGCCACGTGCTTCTCCAACAACTTGCCTATGCGACAGCATGCAACACGGGTTGGATGATGCAAAGCTTCTAAGGCTAGAAGGGATCAATTTGATCATCTAGTTTGACCTTCTGTATAACACAGGCCACAGAACTCCCCCAAGGTAATGCCTAGAGCAGAGCCTTTAGAGAAACGTCCCATCTTGATTTAAAAGCTATCAGTGATGACGAATCCACCAGGATCCTTGGGAAATTGTTCCAATTACCCTCCCTGTTAAAAATGTATCCCTTATTTCCGGTCTGGATTGCTTTAGCTTCATGGACTCATAGAATGCTAGAACTGGCAGGGACCTCGAGAGATCATGAAGTCCTGTCCCTTGCCCTCACGGCAGGACCAAGCACCATGTACACCATCCCTGAGAGGTGTCTGTCCAACCTGCTCTTAAATATCTCCAGAGATGGAGATTCCACAACCTCCCTAGGCAATTTATTCCAGGGTTTAACCACCCTGACAGGCAGGAAGTTTTTCCTAATGTCCAACCTAAACCTCCCTTGCTGCAGTTTAAGCCCATTGCTTCTTGTCCTACCATCAGAGGCCAAGGAGAACAATTTCCTCCCCCTCCTCCCTGTGACACCCTTTTAGATACTTGAAACCCGCTATCATGTCCCCTCTCAGTCTTTTCCTTTCCAAACTAAACAAACCCAATTCTTTCAGTCTTCCCTCATAGCTTTGCTAGACTGAAGGGCCCAGTTATATAACAGTTCCCTGTGTGGATACTGATCGACTGTGATCGATCAGCACTTGCCTGTCCCCTTGGTAAGCTGCAGAGATTGAGCTCTTTGAGACTGTAACGAGAAGGCAAGTTTGCTAACCCTCTAGCCATTAGCGTGGCTGCTGTCTGATTCACCAAGTGTTTTCCCCTCCTAACTTCTCTCTTCCCTCACCCACATGTGGCTCTGACCATCGGAGCTCCCAGTTTTGGGGTGCTGATGTGAGTTTGAGCACTTCCTTCTGTCTGGTCCCCAGCGTCCAGCAGTCGTCCAATCTGCGGGACCAGCTGAGTCACCTTCTGAAATGAAGCGGGAGAACTGCGGTGCCCAGCGCACCTCGCCGGAGCTGATGGGACGGGACCGTATGTGGCACTGCAGAGACTTCCTGCTTCAGCAGTGACGTGGCAAAACTGCGCTGTGCGGAGAGCCAGTTGTGAAAACGCTGGAGATTGTTGCTGCATGTGCAGGGCTGTGGGGAGGTGTGGGACAGCTCCCTTTTTATCACAGACCCTCCCTACACCAAAGACTTGAACACTTGCTTGCACTTAATTTAAAGCAGACTTCACAAAAACTGTCCGGTGACTAACGCTTTGCCGGTCCATTTTCTTTTCTGTGCAAAGTTCTATTTAACGAGCTGTTTCCTTCTTCCCATGGCATTCCACATGGTCAGCTAATGAATCAAAGGCAACAGGTGTTATTTCTATGTAGCCCAATGCCAAAACCACTTGACTAAAGTGCCATTCAAGCCTGCATGGTTTTCCTGGGCCCTTTGCCCTTGGGTACATTTTCCCCATCTATAACTTCTGCTAACTATGAACCTGCTCTTCACAGGGCTAACAGGAGCGGCGACGGAGAGGCGGTGCCCAACACCTTGCATTTTATGGTTCCAGCATTCCTCAGACAAGTTTACTTTGCTCACCCCAAAAGTATGACCAGCATTTTCACATGCACCTGCACATTTTGACATGTAAACAATCTCCCCAGCCCCGTTCCGAGAGAGCTGAGCAGTCACTGCTATCAGCCTGCTCAAGCACAGCATTTTTGGAAATCAGTTGCTTAACTATGGCTTTGGGTACCTCATTTGGGCCAGAATTGTAAACCCAGGCGTGTAGGTACATACATCATGTGATGACTTGCTGGGTCCTTTTCACCTGAGTGTCATGAATGTCATTCGATTGGTGCTGTTCCTTGTCATCTGTCCAATAGGATGTGTATTGAATGAGTGTCATTAGCACTATACTGTTCCGTGGTTGCTGTATATAATGTAAAGCAGGGGGTTGGAATGTTCCATCTCTTGCCAGTACATCTGCTGTCTCTTTTGGCCTTGAACTGCATTCCTCCTATTTCATTGCCGTTCTGCCTCTTGATTAAGCAGCCTTGGCTTCATTATGTAATTCTGCACAGAATCAGTAAACTATTCAGCTACACAGCTGTGAGGTACTAGTAGTGTGTGTAAAGGATGCCATCAATGGACCTGCTTCAATGTAAGTCAGCGGCAAAGCTGCCATTGACTTTAATTTGAGCCCCAGACGAACGTGCTGTAGTGTGGTTGCTGGGGTTTTTTGGTTTTTTTTGTAAATTGCCTCTCTACGTCCCTAATAACCTCTCCACTTCCTCATAGGAGAAGCCCTTTATTCACCAAGTTTGCTTTTCATCACTTTTTAAAATTGCATGCAGCTTGATCAGTGAGATTAGATGACATCTTTCTAGAGGATGTTTCTATAGAGAGAGACAAGGTGGGTGAGGTAATATCTTTTATTGGACCAATTTCTGTGAGCAAAAGGGGAAAAAAACTTTTGTGTTTACACAGATGGGGTGCTGTGGATTTGTATAGTGGGGTGGTGAGAGCCAGCGACCCAAACTGAACCCTGTATGGAATGGAAACCATTTCAAGCTTCCCGCACACCTACTTCCAGCACCTGGGTATACAGAGCTTTCCTTTAGGTCAGTTTCTAAAGTCAGTTTCACTTGTGAGTCACCCCCTGTTAGGTTTAGCTTTCCACCTGGTACTGGTACCTGTGCTGGTTTGATTTTTTTTTTAACTCTCTGAGAAGATTTATATTTCTGTTTAGCTATTTAAAACTCCTTACTCTTTTAAACCCAAAGCCTAGAATGAGGGTGGAATACAGAACAGTGCTATCGCTGGCTGCTGAGCAGGATTGGCAGATCCAACAGCCCAAATAGGTTAACAGTGCTACAGCCTGTATTCAGCTGATCCCTCCGCCCATGGTGCATTTGGTTAATTGGTAAGAAAAGCCCAGAAAGGAACCTGAAAACAGCTGCTTTTCATGCCACACCAAATTCAGTTGCACCAGCCGTTGTAGTCTGATTTGCTCCAGAGTATCCCCTTGCATGATATCGAGTGAAACACACTTCACCAGTGGAACCAACTCACTGGCTGCTCAGTGATCCTGTGCAGGATGCTTACATAGTCACGAGAGCTTATTAACCTTCCCTGGGGCCTCTGATGTGCCAGAGCTCATTCGGCACACCAGTTAAAACCCCAGTGGCCTAACTGGGAACTGTGCATGCAGATCCGAGAGCAGGATTTAGATCCAAGTTCCTAGAAGGACTGACATCCGTGTGTCTGTTTTTCAGTCCATCTTGACTCATACTAAAACTGCAACAGCTGCTGCCCTGAAATTCCAGACTGAGGCAGGCTTGTTATTGATGGGGGAGGTCATAGGCCTTTTCTTCGCCAGTTTCCCTTTGCGGCGTTTCCCCCCATGTCACCCTGTAGCTCTGTCGTATCAAGATGACCATGTAGCACTGCTTGCTTGGGTGGATCTGGACCATTCTATCTTCCATATTTGTGTGACAGTCCGGATCTAGACACCCCATGGGGAGAACAGAAAGTTTCTGCAAAACCGGTGCAGTTGTACTAAATAATCACACGCTGTATTATTGTACTATAAAAGTGTAGCAAGGAAGGTCTTTTATGAAAACAGGTCAGCTGGACTCGATGGTCATTGTGAGATAGCTATGCAGATTGGTTATTAATTTATATATTTGTGTCTATGGAAAACAGCTTTTGGAGTCAAGAATCTCCTAAGCCAATTTACACAAAATGAAGGCCACGCCTATATTTAACAAACTTACAGAAGCGCAACTCCACCAGTACGGCTAGGCGGGTGCATAAGAGTGCTCGTGTAGCTGCATTATGTTAATGGGAAACAGCTCTCCCCATCCCCATAATAAAACCAGCTCAGTTTTGCTGACATGAGCGCTAATGTGGACATGGCTTGACTTCAGGTACTCTGAAAACAACTGGTGGATTCTTAAAGTAAATGGAAAGGCATTGAGATAGCCTGGCTAGAATGTCTTCCATTCTGGCAATGAGTCATGGTGCCAAGAGAGGCCAAAGAAAAAAGTGTGTGGGAGGGGGGGAGGAGAGGGCAGAGAGGGAGACTTGAAACTTGCTTCCAGAAACTGAGGGACAAGCTCTATATGCTGGCTCACCTATATAGTTAGTGGGTATGCTGGGAAGCTTCAACGGCAATAGGTCACTTGAATGAGAAAAAGGATTTTATCCACAATGAAAGTGTAAAGTCTGAAGTTTCCTTGTCATGTTTATTTGCTGTGGAACTTGTACAGGTTTGCTTTGCTTCCCTTACTATTTCATCATTGAGGCTGTGGTTATTTTAGTAAATGAACTTTTCATTTCTATTTATCCCCAGGCCGGTCTTGATTTTGCAAGCTGTGTGGGGTGCATGCCAAAGGAAGCTGGTATCTAGGAGCTGATGTCCTATCTT